ATTTTCCTCGTGGGTGTCTTAATGCTTCTTCAATTGCTTCTAGTAGTGCTGTGATGGCTTGTATCGTTGATCTTTGTGGCCGAAACCCAAATTGATTTTCCGGGATAAGTGAGTCTACTGTTGTTGTTAAACGGTCAGTTAGGATTTTGGTCAGTTTGGGTCTTCTGGGTCTCCTTTTCCCTTGTACAGTATTGAACTGCTACAAGAAGAGACAAACACGCCCAATCGTACCGTAAGTACAGACTCATGTTACTTCCACAGTTCGAACTAAAAAAAAAAGGGGGGGGGGAACTGGGCTCTTCTGTTCATGAATCTCTGCTGGAACATCTGGCCACCCTGACGACCCTGACTTAGGATTTTTTCATGGTTTTTCACAGTACCACCAGGCAAATGTTGATTGGACTTAGTATCCCTAATCAGGTGACAAGCACCAAGACTTTTGAATACATTATTTACTAACCATCAACCCCTTGATACTATATAATTTCCGCTACGAAGTGTGTTGTGAAATCACGAAAGGAAATGTGGTGCAGGAGCAGTTTTGAATGTTATTAATAATCGGACACAACTTTCAGCGCCAGAAGAGATACTGTCCAACATCAAGATCGAGGCCAAGGACAGCGAACTGGAGCTACAGATAGCCCTCAAGAAAGCACGGAGACTGAAGCTGCAGGAGGCTGTTACAGATTCAAAGAACAGTGTAGAAAAGGTACGTACATCACATCGGCAGATTTCCTTTTTAATCCTTCTCACAAATGTTTGGCTGTAGTAGGGGTCATTTCCTCTTGTCCAGTCAAGGCCATCTTCCCCTTACCTGTCTCTCTGCTTTTCCTCCCTGAGACAAGAGAGGAGCAGCCCTATGGATAGGTGGTGGGAGTTGATGACATTGTCCCTAGCTACAGAATCGTGTGCCATGTTTAGTTCCTACACAATGTTTCCATATGTTCCAGTTATAAAATGTTGCACAGAACTTTGTAGTAAAGTTTATTATGATGTTTCCTCCTTGGTTACTGTACAAAACCATTGTACTGTAGAGCAACTGTGTTGTAATTTAACCTGAGGGCTATTAAATTGTTTCTCTCACAGTCTGTTGTAGTGGGCCTCAAACAAGTAAATCATATCACCACATTTAAGTAATATCATCATCCTTTCTTACTGTGCTACAAACTGAAAGGTCATGGGTTCAATTCCCAGTTAGGTAACTGGATTTTTAGATTGACCGAAACCTTCCAGTCACACTATGACCCTGGGGTCAACTCAGCCTCTAACAGAAATGAGTACCAGGAATATTCTTAGGGGGTAAAGGTTAGCCGGCATGTAAGGCTGACAACCTCAGTGCCATCTGTGAGCCTATTGTCAAGAAAGTATGGGAGTCTCGATGTCTCACACCCCTATGGGCCTCCACAGACTGTTACAGGGACAACTCTAACTTTTTTTATACTATCATCCTTTCTTATATTTTGGTTATTGAGACCTGTTATGGCCTCCTGTTAAATAGGCACCAGGGGCTGTTTCCCCATGTGGGAGTGGCATAGAGCTGGCCACTAACCTCAAATTAGGGCATATGTCTTCATTACTGATGGTTCGAAGTTCATATCGAAAGTTAACACGGTGTAGTTAATAATTGATCATGGTAGAATGAGTGTCAGTGTTGTGTCTTAACAAGATTAGCCACCTTCTCGTAATTGAGCATCTACACGTCTACTTTGACGGATTAGGCCCTTGGCGTGTTCCCATCAGAATTGATCTTGAACATGATCTTGGTCATGAAGCATGAATGCGGAAACCATTGAAGACACTGTGTGAATTTTGAATATTACTCACAAAGGTTGAGACATGAATATCTTACCTGAGTATTGAAAATGATCCAATGCAGTGACGATGTGCTTGCATTATGAAGTGCTGTGGTTTTATTATTTGTGGATTCACATTCAGTTTCCCCACACTGTGAGTGACATACAGGACGTAAGCAGAATATGTGGGTCTGCCTTCAGTTGGTGAGTTGAGAAAGATATGTAGGAGACATGAAGAGTAATTCTGAGTGTCCAGTTTGTTTAACCTCGATACGAACTTAACCTCACTCATTGCACACTTTGTCAGGTTTCAATATATCCAGAATGTCCACAGAATATGTTCGTGAATATTATGGACAAAGTTTAGAGACATGAATATCTGACCTGAGAATGGAAGAAGATTGAGTTCTCGAAATGTTGTGTTTATTAGAATACCGAAGATGAACAATGTTCCCTGTAATCCTCGGTGTTAATAAGGAAGGATTAACAGCAAATGAGGAACACACTAATCATGATAAAATAATTTTCTGACCTGCAATTAATGTGACATGAACGTCACATTATTGGATATATTACAAATCGTGTAACTGACGGAGCCGGGTTGGACGGCCGGGTGATGTTTCCAGGCAAGCGTAATAGACTTTTGCCCATGTCGTCCAAATGGGTTCTGGTGCCCACGAAGCCTCCTATCTGATGGGTACGGGGGACAAAGCGGCGGGGGCGTCAAGCTTATCACTCACCTCCATCTATTGCCGAGGTCATGAATGTTGGAGCTATACCCCCACTCTCAAGT